CCCAATACCTGCGAAAGGGCCTGCTGCCAGAGATTGTGACTTGGGGTGAACACCAGGATATTCTATCAGGTAACCAGGGTTGAGAGCCTTTGGTCAAGAACTTAGAGTGGACTCAATTAAAAAATGTTATTTAAAGAAAGGCTTAACGAGTTAGAAATTTTTAAATTGTTATAGTCATGTGGAACAGTCTGTGTTGAACAGTAATACAGACTGGGCAGCTATGAAGAATGTACTCTATAAAATACAACCAAAAAGGGCATGCTTGAAATTCTTAGAGAGTGAAGGGCAAAGAAGGGTGATAAGTACATGTATGAGAATTTAAAACCTGTTCTCTTTGTCCCTGTTTGTGGAGAAAAGGATTTTGTCTTAACTGAGCTACTGACTAAAGTATATAAAAGTTTCTTAGAAGTTATCTTTTCCATTTCCCTTGCCGTCAAAGACTTTATCTTCAGACTCTACTTATGCTCACACTTAAATCCATGTTGGAGTCCTCAGAATGAAGGGTGGGCCCATTTACTGCCGGGGAAGAGGTTCCATGTTAAGTGGAAGGTTGTGATTGCTTTGCTGTCACATGGTGTCGGCTGTGGTGGTATCAGTGCCAGAAGCAGGTAATTAAGCAGAGACAAACTTTTATGTAGCACTGGCTGGCAGAGGGAATACCAAAATTCCTGTCACTTCATACTCTTTGAAGGAGATTATAAGGACACCTAAACTAAAAGGAAATTTGGAATTTATTTAAGGTTATACTTCTTCCTAGGAAACAAATTTAGGATGGGCACACATGATTAAATGGATGCTGAATATCCAGGGTACTTGGGGGGGGGGGGGGCCCAGACAAATAAGGATTGATGCCTGGAAGCCAGAAATCACACTGTGACATCAAATATTTCATCAGGCGAACAGCAAGGAGCTCTTCAGGCTGTGTTCTAGAATGTCCTTTGTCCTTTGTCATTAATTATATCAGCCATCCATGAACATTTCAACTAGGGCAAAACATTACAGTTCCTTCCAAAGTAGAGGTCTGTTCTGTACACCATCTTCCCTCCCTTAACATCTCTACCTTTCTTTGTCTTCAATGAAAGCTAATGCACTCTTGTCAGAGATTTAATGCAAACAAGTGATTTCCAACTCTAGAAACACCACTGATGCACTTAGGGAATGCCAGCAGTGGAACAATTAAGCTAGTCATCAGAGGTGAAAATCGACCACTTTGGAACCTACCTTGGTCCCCATTGCGAGTTCTAAGAGGTAGATCACAAAGTCGATTTTACCATCTGTTATAAAATGTCATCTGGAATTATGGGGGATAATGGAAAGTCAGCTTGCTGATTTCATAAGTATAACTTCATATTCCACTTCAGAAGTGGGCAACTTGATGAGTTTCATACCTGCCTTTTGATGTCAATTCTTAGTTAATACAGGAGTCAGTCTGTCGAACACATTAGACTGGTATTATTGAGTTCTGATCTCTTATGTTGTTTTTTAAATAAAAGTCTGGCTTGCCAGCGTCTGATACATAGTAAGCTGAAGTTATCTAGTGGCCATGAGTTATATTTAGAAATAACCCATCTGGATTGTGCTTTTACCACTTTGATACCTGAAAACACCCTTTCTAAAACCTAAACTTTAGGAACTAAAGTTTAAGTAGGAAAATCAAGTCGATTTTTTTAAACTATCTTTCAACACAAGACCTAGAAATAAAACCATTTTTTTCCAGTGTCAATTTTCATAGGCAGAGATTTTAATTAAAAAACACATTTTTCTTTCACTCAGTGCTAGCCAAAATTGTAAAGAGCAAAACCAAAGTTTTTGATGTTTTATTTTTGTAAGCTATAACCATGGCCTAGATGGAATAAACAGGCAGCTGGTTGTCTGCTACACAAGCAGACAGAAAACTGCTCACGGAAGCGAAATGAGGAGGAGGAAGATCGACTGCTCTGGCACCTTCTAAAAAGGTCTGAAGCAGGCAAGAGAGCACACAGGAGAAGTCACTTTCTTATTCTAATGAACACTTTTTTAATATGAATTAACACACAATTGCCAAACATCTT